AAAAACACGTGCATAATAATCATAACAGTTTTGAGAAAAACATTTTTAGTTTTAGTACCAATTGATGTATTGGAGGGTATCAACATCGTTACTGCAAAATCATGGACATCGCATTTCCATTAGAAAATATGCGAATTTTCAGCAAATATTTTATACAATCATAGGTTGAAATGTAGTCAGATAATAGAGTAAGGAGCCTTAAAACATATACTTCACGTGGTATCTGTTTATACAGTCTTGTCTAAAGGACCGGTCTGCATGTCTCATAGTTGAATTCGAACTTGCGAACTAGAGGATAAACTTTTTAATCCGCGACGCTAGAATATACATGTACACTGTTACCACTGCGCATGCACGCAAACGACATCAACTACTGGTAATAACAATAGACTTTCAAGACAGATCATCGAAAAGGACTGTCTGTTTAGTTCAATAAAAGTGAGAGTATGTTCCCCAACTTTAAAAAACAGACTTTCAAAGTTCTAATGCTTATGCGATGAATAAATGGGAAAGTTTGAAAATCCAGGGATTTGTATGAGGTTGAAACAAAGATATTTGCAGTTTCGTTTAAGGTCGGCATTTCGTAAGATCTATGGTCGATATAATGACCTTGTCAGCAAATACAATTCATCATTAAGTCAAATACTGTCTTTGCTTTTATACTATTTATTATGCCATTATTTGCACACTGAATTGTCGACGCAACGGATTTTTTTCCCGTTATTTCCCGATCATGACAAAGATCATACGGCGGATATGAAATGTCGACAGAGGTTGTTCACTCTTTCAAGGCACCTGATCCCACCTCTGATGTTCGCAAGGTCCGTGTTTGCTCTGCTCCTATCTCCAACTTTTGAAAGTGAAGATGAAACCTGATGCTGCTTTTAATTTTTGATGTTATCATCCGTAAGACAATACCGCGTGTTCTGTTAATTCGAGCGTCAATAAATTTACATGTTTGATGTTGTGACTTACCAGAATTACGTTATTCATCAATATACACTATATAGATTAACATGAAAATCTTTATTACAGGGACTAATTCTATACATGCATTCAAATTCTATAGTATTATAGTTACCACCTGCATTTGGTGATTACGACACTCCAACAATCAATTCAATTGATGTTTAAGAGCATGTCTTTTAGTAAAATCCGTTTTCAAATCCAGACAGACTACAAACAGAGTAGTTGATTTTACACAGAGTCGAAAAGATCGTTAATACTATTAGTCAGCAATTTGTTACATCTATGGTCGTTTATTTGCCTTCATCTCAAATATAATTTGCAATTTGAACAACAGCTTGTATTCTATACCAGGGTCAACTGTTAAACCTTCATTTTGCTGAATGAAATATTACTCAATTTTCCTTCGGATAATTTTATAATGCTGATCAATACGCGCTGGTACACGGGATACTTACCTCTTCTTTATCTGGAATATCCGGGGTTCATTTCTGAGGTCAACAGTAATGCGTTTTTGTAGACGCATGGCGGCAGAAGATACAACAGAAGTAAGTCGATTTTGTTCAAATGTTATTTCAAAAGTAAATAGGATTTTACTAAGCATAAGATCGTAATTACAGGCATATTTTTTTTTTTAGGAAAGACACCCTTAAAAGGAAATGCAAGAAAAGCAAGAAATATGTGATGAAGTATGTATATATAGTCCATTTTTAAAAGTAACTTTAATTAAGTCTAGTAAGAGGCACTCATTCAAAAACAATTAAATATAGTCAACCCCTTTCGTCAATAAATATCAAAGCAAATTTCAAGGACGTCATCGTTTTGTTTATTTCTAAAGACTATATACGCAAATTTTAGCTCTCTTGCAAAAGGGACATAGTATAAAATATACTATAATATACGTCAGTATTCTTTATTTAGCATAATTTCATAATTTCTGTTTCTTGTAGTAGAAAATGTCTGTATAACTTTACTTTTGGATTTCCACAATCCAATACTTACTACTAAACTACTTGAAGTAAAAATATCAATATTTATAGCTTAGATGATTTTTTTTTTACCTGATCCCACCTCTGATGTTTAAGAGGTCCGTTTATTTTTCTGCTCCTATTTTGTATTGTTCTATGGACTCTGGTTAACCCCTTACATGGCATATACGCATTTCTCCGCATCTGACTTGAAAAAGAAGTATAGTGTGAAAAACATTCATAACCTCGTTAATGCTGGACATTTCAGAATAAATCTTGCACCGTTGGAAAGACAAAATAAATACAGAGAAATATTACACAGAAAATATTTATATTGGTTGTACCAGTATTTTACTAGGTTGAGTAAAACTTTGCGCACTATTTGAGCGATTTTTCTATTATCGAAATCAATGCCGGGGTAACACGTAATATGTAAAAATGCTAAATTCTGGTGTTTACATCCCAACCCTACCCAATCCCCCCAAAATACTTAAAATTGGTTTGTAAAAAAAATGTACAACATGTTCATAATTTTCCACACAACAATAAAATATTTTTAATATATTTACCTAAGCAAAAAGAAAATAGAATGATACTCATTATTTTGTAATCGGAGTCGGAGCAGAGTATGAGAAAACAAGAGGTTTGATTACTATTTTCTACTCTTTTTAATCGATGATTAGATTCTTCAGGATAATAAAACTATTATGGACTTTTTAGATGGGATACATCACGCAGGTACGATAAGGCATCCCAGAGAATATTGTATTGTTCTCTGTGGAAGCAATTCTCTGAACTTCAAATGTATGACGTCATAAATGAAAATGACGTCAAGTCACTGCATACTTGAGCTGTAATGATGGTGAGAGTGTCATAAACATAACACCTTATTTCAATCTGCATCTTTATATATTCTTTTGTGAAATTATGTAAGAGGAGTTTCCCCTCTAGCTGAATCCTGCTTGGGAAAAATGTATATTGGCCTTGTTTTAAAACAGATGACGATATTCAGCGGAAAATACCCTCAGATTTGTTGGCATGTCGAAGTTAATGGGAAATATTTTGTACCAAAGAAATAGTATAACTTTTCCCAAGCACATTTCGGGTTCAAAAGGATGCAACGAGTTTAATTATGTGACAAAAAGTTAATAATAATTCTGTTAATAACCTGCGCCAAAGCGATTTATGTGAAACATTCCAAAAAAGAAGAAATTACTGTCAAGTGATCAACAAGGTCATGTGATATCGTAACAAATATGTTTATATATAGCATAGAGAACTCTCCATATGAATTAAGTACATAACTTAAAAATAAAACTCAAAATCAACCTTGCAGTGCAGTGTTACGATTTAAATGCATATTAAGCTCCGGGAAGCCTTAACAGTACTGCGCACCAATTATCAGGCCTTTATAGGGTTGGTAACCCTATTCAGGCCTGATAATTGGTAATGTATCCCTTCTAAACAGTCCATAATTGTATAATGTAATGTTTATCCCCGCACTGTGTGGACGTTCACAGCTCCATGCACCTGATTTCACCTCTGATATTCTGGAGGTCCGTGTTTGCTCTGCTCCTCTTTTGTATTGTTTTATATACTCTGATCTTGAATACTGTTCGTTATCTCCATATACATGTTTTTCACTACAATGGTTACATAATAATCAAGATGTTCGTCCTATTTTCGTAAAAAAGTCAATTTATTCTCTCTTAATACATACACCTTAAACTATTTTTCATATAAGATCGTGTAATATCACTATAAGGAATGAACTGACTATAGTGTTAAGAACATGTGTGTTTATAAAAAATGGGTGTTTATAAAAAATGTGTATCATGATAAAAATATGTGGAAATCTTGGCACATTGGCAACAATGTGTGAACAATTATACATAAGCGCCCAGATTAAATAAGACATATATCAGCACATATTGTTGCCGCCAGTCACATAAGCGGCATTATAGGCAAGTATAAGTAACCCTACTGCCCCTTTGCTTCAATTTGATAAAAGATGTTTTTGCAAAGTGATTTATTGATATTTGTGTATTCTAACGTAACAGCTTCATGTCAAGGATAGCAATGATGATGTTTGTATATCATTGTCCTGAACCGGGGATGATGCTGCGCTCTCTATTGAGCAGAATCCTTAACTTATTCATGCTACTGTACATAAAATTTTGAAAACACTTAATTGGTTTTCTTTTATTGCAGGTACATTGTCATTTATTGATTGTCATACAGTGCTTAATGATGAGTGATATACTATACAATTTGTCTAAAGCTTTATCAAACATGCTATGATGTTTTATTCCGCACATACCAAAATAGAATAAAAATATAATTCAAATTTTGTTTTCTGACTTGTCTTTAAGAACTCAAGAACTCTGATAGCCTACAAAGATATACATTTAAGGATTTCTTTAATCAACATGTCAGTAAGACAATGAACGTTATTTATATGTTTAGCAAAAGTAGTGAAATAAAGTGATAGCTCCTTGTAAATTGAGAGACTAGTGAAAAAATCGAATAATTGTCAAAACGAAGGTTGTCATGGATGAAATGACGAGATTTAAATGATTTAAAGTTGTTTTATCTTGTTATCAGGACATGATGTCACATATATCCTTTACAAATTATAACGTCTATTTGATATCTAAATGAGTTTTTGTGTATTTCTATATTGAATTGTCAAATATTTCACGGGAAAATTGAGCAAATACTGTGCCGATACCGAAAATCTGGAAATTCTTAAGTCGACTTTATTTTTGCGAATTCGGCTCAAAATGCTGTTGATTAATTTTTACGTTTCAAAATTTTGAGAATGACCTCTGCTTTGTTTACATTTTCTTACTGGTGATTTAGTTTTAAGAAAAATATTTTTGCGAATGCAATGAACTCGCAAATTTTGTAAACATTTTCAAAAGCAAAAATTTCCAGATTTACGATTTGTATGTCCTCATAAAATATTTAAATTTTGAAAAGATTTACACTGATTTATTTTAAGCATTTTTAAATTTTATTTTACTTATTATTTAATGTTTGCAATTAAACCATTTATTTTTGTAGAACACCAAACAAATCATTATGAATGTGGAAACACAGAGACAGAGACAGAATTTGATTGAAGAGTTAAAGAATCTGGTCGGAATGACTACAAATTCTCCTCTTACCGTGGCTGTGATCGGGACACCTGGGTCTGGAAAGTCCTCCTTCATTAACACCATGATCACTAGCATGACAGGAAACTACAGGCATTGGACAAGGACGGGAGATTTTGGGGGATCTGGTCAAACAGTAACCCATCGTGCAATTTGGTAAGATTTCATGTTCAATCGTGACATTGCAAAAGAACGGTCCAATATATCATCTGCATATGCGGTTTATATGTCTTAGTTGACTCGATACTCAAGGGAATGTTTTTTGTATGAACAATTTATAAACGAGGTAAGTTATTGACAAACAAATTGATAAAACAAAAATATCAGCAGTCTCGTTTAAAGTCATCATTTGCAAGTTGAAGGGTCGATACAATGACCTTGTCAGCAAATAGAATCTAACATTAAGTCAAATGCTGCCTGACTTTTCATTGCAGTTGTTGCACACTGAATTTATATTGCTTCAAAGGATTTGAGACATTTCTGTGTGATTTTTTTATACTTCATTAAAGAATACTTTAATGCTGTAGACCAATTACGTCATTATATGTTGTTTATATGGTACATACTAGTATGGAAAAACCTTATCATAACAGTTTGTTATTTGCTTTTAAGTAAAAAATAAACATATAAAATTAGTGATCAATCAAAAGTTATATGCCTTAGAAAGAGTAAATACTTGTAACTGTTTTCGATACTTTAGGATAAGAAAAGAGAGATACAGCTCCACTGCCGATCCGTCACTCCAGGGGTATAATTAGCCAAACTTTTTAGACATTGCGGGATTTCAGGATACTAACGATGAAGTCACAAGGGAGCTTTTAAACCTTCTATTTTATGGAAGGATTCCCTCCGACGTGCCTCTAGATGAAGTAGCAGAAGATATAAGGTATTTGAATATGACAAAAGAATGGAATTTTCTTATCCCATACCTCAAAACATTTATATAACTGTATGAAGTAAAAGAGCTATATACTTCATGCATATTGTGCAGGGTTTTTTCTGCCTTTTAGACAAAGGGGAGTGACGTATACAGACATTAAGTATCCAGAAGAACAGGGAAACAAGAAGGTCGACAGAATTATTTTTATTGCATCTGCAGTAGATTTACATTTACCTGTACAACTAATGCATGCTGTATCGACAATACTTCGTCGAAGAAGAGGTGCAAATTCCAGTACTTTGTATAATTTGTTTTATACAAATGATAACAAAATCATTGAAATTAATATTTATTAAGATATGTAATTTGTTAGACTAAGAATTCCTTTGATAGTTTGGTTTGTTCTTAATATTGGGAGAATTTTGAATACTGATGAGTTTCCATTTTTCTTTCTGGATGAAATGGTTGTTTTTTGATAAATCTGGATGTGTTGCAGTGTAGGATATTCAGGTAGACAGGATATGAATCAGCGTTATCTAATACGGGCAGTATTGTCGGTTTCACCCTCATTTCAGTGAAGGAAATACCGCGGGAAAATGTTTTTGGCGATTTCCATGTCGTCTATTTCCATGTTTGTGTTATGTCTTGCACATGTAGATTTTTACCCATGTTTTTAAAGCATCGAATAACCAATGGGGGATTTTGAACATACAAATCTATTTGGTCCAAGATGATTTATTTCAAATTATACTTATACAGATATTCCGATATTTGGTGTTTTAACGAAGAGAGATCGAAGAAGACAAAACGTTAGGGAATTCGAGGCAAACGAGGCCATCTTTAAAACAACGCTTGGATTGGCTCACCTGGGCTATCTGCAGTGCACAAATTACTGCGATGATAACATAAACAAGATTCGTGAAAGAACACGGAAAAATTATCCTGAACTAGACATACCTGTGTTAAGGTTTCTAATACAAGTAAGTATTTTTAAAGATTGATTTTGAATTGTACTATTCAATCAGACTTTGCATTAAAAAATCCTCATTCATAGGCATTAGCAATTGGTCTTGTCTGATATTCTGTGCAGTACAGGGATTACTGTAGATGACGTTGAAAGTTGATTAAGATGACCGTTGAAGTGATCCTTTGCTGCAGAGGACTTTTATAGCCCTCCATTTTTTTGCCAGTCATATGTTATACCATCCTAGCTGTTAGTACCTATTTTGTAGATGAAATATGAAGCTTGTGCAACATTAAAAGCTCCAATTTCTAATGACAAAATTTCCGTTTTTTAATGCACTTGATTCAGATGTGGTTTTAAAATAGCATCAATTTTTAAAATTAAAATTTTTCAAATTTGTCATTTTCATGAATCCAAAGCCTTTGTTCAGTTTTGTTTGTGATGTAACGTTTATTATTTCCAACAGGTTTTCGATCCTGAGCAAGAGGCTGCTGATTTTCACAGGGTGAGAGGATTTTCATGGAGAAGATTGAAATTGGGGTTTTGGAAAATTGTTGCACGACTGAGAAGAGCTGACAATATATATTTGGTTTTTTCTATTGTTGTTATCTTGCTCATTGCTATAATGCTTCAACAAGTGTTATTCTGACAATGATAAAAGCATGTTAATGTGCTCTTTTTCAAAATAGAATGAACATACATGTATTTTTTTTCAAATCATCTATAAACCTATTTGGGTTTATTTATGATTGGTATATTTTGTATTTTTACAAAAATCTAAAATGAAATTTGTTACCATAACAAACATTGATCGATCAAAAAACATACAAACAAAAGAAGTTCATGAACAGGAAATAAAACATGAACTCATTGATATTCGTGTGAGGAGAAAGCATCCCCACTCCGTGTGCACCATGTTTTGATCATGGTCAAACAATTAGATTGACTGATTGATTTGTTATACAGTATAATTTGTCTAAACCGGCTACCGCCGGTTCCATAAAATTTGGCCGGTTTAGACAGAATCCGGAGTGCAGGAAAAATGCAGGAAAATATTAATTTTGAAAATTTCGTTATTTATTTACAAGTTCATCATATACATAATATAAAATGTAATTATATGATGGAATCAATCAATATTCTGGAGTCTGGAAACTATAAAATAGTCTCAGATGACTTACTGTATTTTCTTGTTTGTTCAAGAAGTTTGAAAGTCGGGTGAAATGTTACCTAAATCAAAATCTACAGGCACGCATAATATAGGCCTACTATATATCAAGCGGGCCAGGTTTCGCTTGTCAAAGAGCTCATTCAATGTAAAAACAGTAATGCACAATTATTTACGATGTACTAATTATTGGATTGAACTTTTAATTTTTATGTAAAAAATTATGTCTTCCCCCACATGGCTATGGCGCCATTTTGAAATGCGTTCGATTTTCGATCCCGATTTATATTTTGATTTGTAAATCGCGTTCATAATTTTTTGTTATGTTATAATGTGATAAAGGAGTTAAAACAAAGTTGTATTTTTTTTTAAATTGTAATTCAATCATATATTAGTAATTTTTTTTCAATTAGGCTGTTTCACTGCCGCATTTCACTGAGTTCGTCTCATGGCACTGCTAATGTAAACACAGATTATCACATCCACCACGAAAGGGGTTAATTGCTTTGAAGTAACTCAGGTGTGGCCGGATTAGAGGAAATAATTACCGTTAATTATGAGCGGTTGGGGCCAGTATGGCCGTTCGGAATACAGAATAGACAGTATCCGGAGTACACAGAATTTGTTCAAATGAATTTGTTAAAGAAGTTCATGGGACTAAAATTTATAGACGGAATGGACAAAAATTCGGAGTACTCAGAGTCCGGATTAGACAAATTTTACTGTATTGACTTCCCACATAATAAATACTCTTTTAGAGAGGTGACTATAAACCGATGAAGAAAATCAAATATAGTTCTATACTTGACACTCAGGACCACTGAGTAGTGGGAATTCTTCCTTGCGTCAATGCATACTGTGACACCGGGTCACGGATTTTTAAGGTTTCAAAATTTCTATTTCAGTCGTGTTGCTAAGGAACATTAATATTTTACAAACTTTGTTTATGCCTTAGGTCGGATGCCACGCTGCGAACAAGAATCAAACCCGGATTTCCAATCAGGAAGTGAGCGTTCTTTAAAAGAAATGAAAACTTCGGCTAATATTTACACATATGGTCATTTTAACGACATTTTAACAAACGCGTTTTATAAAATACTGTTTTTAAACATGACTTTCGAATTCTCTGTTACATACGAGGGCTGTTCAATAAATAATGTCCTCAGTGCTCAGAAAGAAGCAAAAGACGCTTTTCAATGATTTATGCTTCATGATTTTACTTATTAATCTCTTTTAAGTAAAGTACATGTCCGTAACATTTTTTATCCAATTTCTGATCGTTTGTAGAACTCATTTTTGGGTATGACCCTTAGTATACTGGAAAATGGCAGATCCAATGATTTCCCGGACTTGTTTCTTCCTTCTGAAAGGTGTTTTTTCCAAGTTTGGAAATAGAAACAAGTCAAAAGGTCAAAGATCTAGCGAATATTGTTTATGTGAAAAAACATTGACTTTCTGTTTATCCCGAAAACCCCTTAACTCTTCAGGGCATGTGGGTTTGGACGCTGTCTTGAAGAAATTCAATGTAGTGGATTCCTGATTCTGGGTCCTTCCTCTGATAAACCTTTTGATTTTTTGGCCAAAAAAGTGCTTTCTAGACTCCTCCAGATATTAAACTGCCTCTCACAATACGATTTTGAACAACAATACCACTGATGTTTAAGAAAATTACATATAAATCTGTCTTTGTGCTCTTGCATACCTGTGCACTTGTCAGACATTCGTCGTTTTTATCAAGTACATCTTACGGTAAATTTTGTTTTAAGGGTTTTAAGCAATAGATTCATGTTCCAATATCTGTTTGAAAATAAAACAAACGTGGATAACTACAATTACTGATATTTTACAATAATTGTTAAGAATTTTGTACACGCTGTCATTTTCACTCCTTTTTCACATTATAGGGTGACCTTTGAGTGCCAAGCTTTTTTTTACCGTCAAACGTTTCTTAAATACAATGTAAACTTCCCCCGATGTGATGATTATCAAATTTGCTATGTGTCTTAAAGTCAATCATACATCATCAAATATTATTTGTTGAAATTTGGCAAACAGTACATAAGTTGTTATAATTTTTGTTAGCAAGGAGGGTACCCATTTTTGATGCCCATTATATAATTTTTTATCATTGAAATCCACCTGCTCTTTTGTCTATAAAACAGGCATTGATTGCTGTAAATGTCGCATATTTCAGTAAATATTTCTTTGGGATTTTTAACAAGTTTTACGGCAGTTTAGTGAAGCTAGCGCTTTTATTTTCACTCTAGTTTACTGATTCTTTACCATTCATTTATAATGCAGTGTCTCGAAAAGCCCTTGTTTCCAAGCTTCTCACGATGAAACTATGTGATGAAAAGTGGTCACATAAACTGTTATAAATTCATGAAAGATTCAATAATGAGAGAAAGTCAAGTTTAATGTCATATGATATCTGTAATGTATGTAATATAGTTCAGGACATTATTTATTGAACAGCCCTCGTACATGTATTTTAAGAATGCTGCGTGAGGTATTTAATGAAAGATATATATTCATGTCAGAAGCTGATTTTCTTCGAAGTTTTTGAGACTCCATATGTAATTTCCACACCTTTTTAATTGTGCTTTTCTATTATATGTCTGAAGTTTCTCATTTACTGAAGTTTTATGAGAAGTAGAATAGGGGATTGAAGAAACTTTTGCTACACCTGTTAATTTATCCTTGTTAGGACGTTTAAGAAGTTTAGAGATCCAGTTAAAGCAGCATTGTGACGCACAAAGGGGAAAATTGACAAATGTAGAATTTTTGCATGACCCTTATTAATTTTGTTAAATTCCTAAAAACATACGGTTTCAAAAATTACGCGTTTCAAAACCTAAAAATTCTATTTGTAAGGAGAAAATAAAGGTAAAAATAATTTTAGAATAACCCAGACAAAAATTATTGATCAATACTTCATCCACCTCATTGCACGCGTGCGCAGAAAAGTTGAATATGTTACCATAGTTACCATGGCCTTAAGTACACAGGAATGAATGTAAGTAGACCAAACATTTAGAGGCAATCTTTTTAAAACTTTGTTAGAACATATTTCTCACCTTTCCATGCTCCAGTTGAAGGTTGTTTACAAGTTTGGGCTAAAAATAAAAGTTATGTGACCTTGACAAACACGAAAACAACGAAACGGTAGATACAACCTTTGTTTTACCGGCACTTATATCGTGGTTTTTTCTTGCAGTTTAATAGTCGTATCTTAGCTATATACCCATAATTTTCATAAATCTTCCTATGTATGCTACAGATATCTTAAAAGAAAGACATTATTTCGACTCATTGTGTCCTTTTAAAGATAGCATAGATTTCCTAAAATGCTAAAGCAATTGCATTTCGAAGAGAGTCATCTTTGATAAGGGTTTTATCAAAATAAGTTCGATTTCCACCTATGAAATTAAAACTTAATTATGTAATCAGGGGTTGGTGTTTGATCTGCTCATATTTTGTATAGATTTTTGATCTTGAATACAGTTCTTTATTCCCATATGTTTCATTGCAATCATGTAATCAACAAAAACGATATTGTTACAGCCTTGTAATATAAAACCATAGTATTCTGTTCATGTAGTTTATTTATTTCTTTTGCTAATTCTTTTACTTTTTCAGATTTATAAATTGTTTGTACATAATTTTTTCATTTCATAATACGATATCCTAAAAAATCTAATTTATATAATTCACAAACACTTAATCCTTTCAGATAAAGTGCCTCTTCCTTCTCATAATATGCATCGTCTGACATCAATTTCAATAGAATTCTTAATAGAGATGAAGTTTTTTTTGTCGCAACTGAAATATTGGTGCTCTCTCTATTAAGTACTAAATAAACGGAATGCTTTTATGTCATTTTAAACTATATTTACGTCATCAGTAATGGAAAATAAAAAAAAAACTCTTCAAAACTTGATTTTTAATGGAGATTAAAGTCGATAGGAGATGTTTACTACCCCAAGAAACCTAAGCTCATTTCTAGAATAATTTTCTGTTAACATACTTCTTGTTAGTTTTATTCAGATAGACTATGGGTTCGTTATTTTTAAAACCTTTTAAGTTTGTAAATAAAATTAGATTTCTTAGTAAATGCTTAAAAACACATCTTATGGAAGTCTAAGCTTTTTCTACATGATGAGATTTGTTTCAATTTATTCTCACTGGCACATACGTTACTTGTTGTATTATAACATGATGTCTAACTTGAGAGACTTTACTTTTCATATATATTGCATGGACGTCTTGGCATTTTTTCCTGTCTATAACATTGAGTAAAATATTGATTTAACATTTTGTAACAAGAATATTTTTTGTAGTTTTATTGCATTATTACAGTAGACAAAGAGATATAAAATTTATGTATATATTGAACTTGGAGAATTGTTACTTATATAATAATTTTTTTGAAATCATTTTATCAGTGGTAAAGGGAAATATAAAAATAAAAAGCTGTCTTG